GGTGGCTCAGTCAGTTAAGCGGCTGCCTTTGGCTCAAGTCATGATCCCAGGGTCCTGGAATCAAGCCCCACATTGGGCTCCCTGCTCAGCAGAGAGCCTGCTTCTCCCTTTCCCTCTGCCTGCCGCTCTGCCTAATTGCGCTCTCTGTCAAATAAATAAGTTAAAAAAAAAATCTTTTAAAAAAAAAGAAATATTAATTGAAAACCTTTTTCTAAGTTGGGATAGAATCCAACTGAAAGGAAGCAAATATCTAAATACTAGTGTTGAGTTACGTTTCAAAAGTTTCTTGAGTTAGTGGAAATTAGCACCCCAAGGATAAATGCTAACTTTATACTAATTCCCCATTTATAAAAATCCCATAAATTCAAACCAACAAGTCATTGTAACTTAGCCCTTTATCTATAGAAATAGATAGCCAAAAGTATATGGCACAGCTGTGTGTAAAGGAAGATCAGGTCAATTTTTTTCAGACTCAGAAATTCATGGTCATTCTTCTATAATTGAGTTAATCAGTCTTTTGGCAACAAGTTCTGTAGAGGTAGCCATCAAAGAACGATCTGGAGGGGCACCTGCGTGGCTCAGTAGGGCTCTCTGCTCGGCGGGAAGACTGCTTCTCCCTCTCCCACTCTCCCTGCTTGTGTTCCCTCTCTCGCTGTCTCGCTGTCAAAAAAATAAATAAGAAATCTTAAAAAAAAAAAAAAAAAAGAATGATCTGGAGAACTCATCTCTCCTCTCCACTTTCACTACCACTATCTCCTGAACAAGTTCAGTAATTTCCCTAAGATATTGGGCTCTTCCAATTACAAGGGATTAAAAACAAATTTCTAATGTCTTAAATTATTGCCTTATATAACTGGGACATCCAAAGGAAGCTGTTGGCTTAGCCATGGACAGAAACAAGATCTCAAAGAGATCTTAAGTTCTCTCCTCTCTCTCTGTCTCCTGGGCTCTGCTTGTCTTTGGTTGGTTTCTTTAAGGCATGCTTTCTATGGCAGGTAAGATGACTGCTAATAGTTCTAGATTTCCATCTCCAAATGTAATAATAAATAGAAAGAGATTGTTTCCTCAAATAGCTCCTGGTTTTGATAGCATGCCTATCCCTAAATCAATCACTTCAGACAGGGGAGTAGGATCTCCTGATTGGCCAGGCCTTGGTCCTTGCCTTTCTTTAGTCTACGAATAGCATGGTAAACAGATACCCCACTGGCAAAAGTAATGCCCTTTCTAGTATGCATTTATAGAAATGTATGCATTATGGTATATAACACACTGACATCATTTCTAGGTATGTAATTATCTAAGGTCCTCCTGGTTTATATAGGCTTAGTGTACAAGAGGTGTTTAGTAGATATTTATGAATAAATGAGTCCAACTTTTCATCCCCCTTCTGTAACTACTTGATGTTACCCATATGCTTCATTAAGCATAATAATGTGTTATAGGATTTCAGAAGGGCAGAACTACTTGGTAGTAGTCTTAACCTTAACAGAGTCTTTTATTAATATATGAAATAATATATTTAGGAGGGTACAGAACTTTAGTTAATAGAATATTTGACTAATGCACTTATATCATGCATTTCATGTGCCAGGCACTGGTCTCAGCAGTGCACATCTTTACAACACCTTGTGAGATATAGTTACTTTTATTATTCCATTATCTCAAATAAGGAAATTTACATACAGAGATTTTAGTCGCACAGCTCATAAGCGGCATGAGTCTGATTTGTGCCTCGATAGTATAGTTCTAGAGTTTATGGTTTGTTTGTTTTTTAAGATTCATTTATTTATTTTAGAGAGAGAGCACGCAAGCAGGGAGAGGGGCAGACAGAGAGGGAGAGTCTTAAGCAGACTTCACGTCCAGGGCGGAGCCCAACATGGGACTTAATTTCACGACCCTGAGATCATGACCTGAGCTGAAACCAAGAGTTGGACACCCAACCAAGTGAGCCACCCAGGCACCCCCAGAGTTTATGTTCTTAATCAGTACGTTATATTGCTTGGATAAGAAATTGGTTGAATTTCACAAAACTCCATATTATACCCACATTTGGATTATACCTAGGAAAAATAAACAATTAGAGCAATATAATGTAATTTAATGACAGCTCTAAAATTGACCCCTTCTACAGAGTATCTCCCTCGCTCACCTTTTCCAATGTCTGGAATTTAAGCCTTGGAGGCCTAGCTCTTATCTCTTTGTTAAAAAAAAAAAAAATGGGAAGATTAAAACCAATGGCAGTCACGGAAATCTTAAAAATCAGTAGTACAGCAGTTTGTAAAATTACCTTGTCATTTCACAAAGCTTAAAGGAAATTGGATAAGGAAGCTTTGAGGGTAAGGGGCAAAGAGTGCCTTGAGAGAGATTGTGTAGAGCTAGCTGGATCCCACAGCTGGATAGCAACAATATGTTGGGTGCCTTTTGTGCAATGCATATACCATCATTAAGGATGCAGGGATGGGAATGACAGTGAGAAATGAGAAAAGCATTTATACAGCGCTTTACAATTAAGAGAACCTTTCAGGTATCTTACCTCATTGTAGAAGATAATCATCACAGTAACCAGTGAGATTAAAAGAATAAAAACTGATGTAGACCAGTAGCTCTCTGCTGGGGATGATTTTGTCCCTGGGGAACATTTGGCCATATTTGGAGATATTTTTGATTGTCACAACTTGGGAAGAGAGGCAGAGCGAATGGAGTCCAGTGCATAGGGGACAGAGATGCTGCTAAGTACCCTCACAGGACAAAGAATTATATGGTCCGAAAAGTCAGTAGTGCCGAGGCTGAGAAGCCCTGCCTTAGGGCATAAGTAATGAGGCCAGGTCATATACTTAGCAAGTATCAGAGTCAAGGCTAATACCAGGTCATCTGATGACAAACCCTTTACTTGTTTCCTTATTCATATCCCGTTGGCATTAAACAATATGATACAGGCAATGACTTTAGGTTTTGGAAAATACAATACCACTTTAAATGGTACAAACTATTAATAGACCTTTGTGCTTTGAAAGAATCAGCTCACCTCTCAGTGTTTAATGTGCCCAAACCTATGTTATCTCATGGAAAATGACTCCATATACAAAACACAAATGTTACCTTCCTTACTGAGTTCTCACGTGAAGACTCATGTCACAGTGAAGCTGTGACCAGCCTAGACCCCTTGTTTCAAATATTTGTCAAAGACTCTGTTAAGGACATCACTAGTGCTCAGTGGTTTAACCACTCTGAATTCCTGAAACATATTATTGATTTTTCTCTTAGGATATTTATTTATTTACTTATTCACTCAGTCACTTAGCAGATACGTACAAGGCATCTAGTACTGCATGTCATCCTAGGTACTAGTTCCTGGAGACTAAGTCATAAGATGAACATGGTCTATGCCCTCAGAAAAACTCACATGCCAGGTGGTAAGTAAGATAGCTAACAAGTAAGCAAAACTTTTAGGTTGTGTTTGATGGGGAAAAAAATAGACTGGCTGCAAGAAAAGAGAGTAACAAAATAAAACATCCACTTCAGAAATAGGAGTCATAAGAAAAGCGCCACCTATAAGGTGAGGTCCTGAGAGGGTGAGAAGATGGTAGCTATGTCCTGATGGCAGGGCAGGCAGAACGGCAGATAGAAAGGCCCTGAGGTGGGAAAGGGTCCCAAACACTGTAGGGACTTGCAGAAGGCCAGCGTAACGATAGTTCGTTGAAAGGTAAAAAGATGAGCATGAAATCAAGTAGGCAAGAGAAAGGCGAAGGCCAGATCCATCAGGCCTTGTAGGTTCTAGAACAGAATCTATTGAGGGCAGTGGGGTGCAAAGAAGGATCTTTAAGCCTGAGCAGTGATGTAATCTGATCTATATTTTAAAAGATCATCTCACCCGCTGACCAAAGAATGTATTTGAGGCACAAGAGTAAAAATAGGCAGATCATTTAAGAGGCCGGTGATAGGCCAGGTGAGAAGGGGAGAGCAGAAGAGAGAGAAAGTAGTGGGTAAATTTGAAGGATAGAGTAGAGATTCGGCAGACAGTAATCTTAAATGAGCCATCTGTGTCCATTTTTTTATTTCTCTCGCTGGTGTCCAAGCCAGGCTACTTGTCCTACTCATCTCTGCACCTTCCTCTTCTGCTATAGTCATGTTGAAATCGGCATTCTCTAGAATCCCCCCTGTTCCAATTTTGTGTCTGTCAGTATAAGTGTCTCCTTCCCAGGTAATAGATATTTGTCCCTCATTGTGGGCCCTGAGATGTGCCAGCCACATTTGCTGTTCTGCCAAAGTCATACCATGTTGTGGGATATTTTTTTTTTAATTCACTTCTTGCATCTCATTAAAAATGTATTGTCTGACGTATGTCAGAAATAAACATACTTAATAACTCATTTCATTTAAGCCACCCATCTAGAAGAAAGCATTTTCTTTTTTTTTTAAGATTTGTATTTATTTATTTGACAGAGAGAGAGAGAGAGAGGGAGAAAGAGAGAGAGCACAGGCAGAGGGAGAAGCAGGGTCCCCACTGAGCAGGGAGCCAAATGTGGGGCTCAACCCCGGGAGCCTGGGATCATGACCGGAGCCGAAGGCGAACGCTTAACTGACTGAGCCACCCAGGCGCCCCAAAGAAATGAAATGTGTCAGTGGCCAATCAAGAGATTTTTTTTTCCTTATACCTCAGCAGTTTTAAGACTAATGGTGACCAACAATGAGCCTTCCCTATGAATAATGTGGTTAGAGCCACCAAAGACAGAGAATGGTTACAACCTGTCTAGTGTTTCCAGTATTTATGCCAACAGAATGTTGAGACCGTTTCGGCGAGGAAAGTGTTAAAAGTCCTAAATAAGTCATATGTCCTAATTATATTTATGTGTATATAGACAAATACCCTGAACAAAGAGGAGACTGTCAAGTGATACAGCCATGATTTATAGTTTGAAAGATGACAGAATGACAGACATCATTTTCAGTTAGTCACATGATCTAAACTTACCGTTTTGGTTTATTTGTTTTAATTTCAGAATTACCATTTCTGAAGATGGAAGCCTCAAAATTGTCAGTGTGATGAAGTCAGATGCTGGAAGTTATACCTGTATAGCCACTAACCATTTTGGAACTGCTAGCAGTACTGGAAACTTGATAGTAAAAGGTAATGACTAACCCAGAGAACACAGACATTGATACACATGTCCTCATTTCTAATAAAGCAATCTATAGAAGTGGCATCATTCATATTAATATGCACAGCTATCACGGTGTTGCTAAATTAATACATCATGCCAAGCATGATATGATTAACAATTCTTAGAGAACTGTTGGTAATGAATATGATTGAAAGGCTATCTTATTTCAGAATCATCCAGTACAGTTTTGAGAATTACAGCCATTGTATCTATTATACTATTGCAACTAATGTTATCTTCAGTCCTTTAATTAAATTTCTTTCAAGTCTCTGTAGATTTGAAATTCATGTCTAGGAACACTGTGCTAACAAATTAAAAACCCATGACTCGAATACTATTTTTAGCAAACATTGTTTGAACAATGACATTGGCTATTTTTAAAAGAGCTGCCCTGGTTATTCAGAGCTATGGATATGGATTATTACATCAATAAAGGGATTTGATCACCTCTATGCCTTGCTTTAGTCACCCTGCCAACCCTCTCAGTTTTAAGGAAATAAAATTTTCCACATACGTTAGTCTGGGTGCTTTATAGTATATGACAGAAAGTCCTTTATTGCTCTTAGCACAGCACATGATGTGAGTCTGTTCTAACACCAGGTTGATGGGATGGGCTGAAAGCACTAAATTGCAAAGGATGAGATTTTAATTTACATTTTATTTGCATTTCTATTACTTTCTGTCTTGTCGAGTCATAGAATTTTTTAGTTGAAGGGATCTTGGCAATGGATGATCTGACTGAGGAAGATAAGACTCAGGTTGGTGACTTTCTCAAGGTCACCAGTAGTGGAAGACGGATGTTAACCCAGGAATCCTGATTGTTCATTCTGCTTGGTTCTGTTTACTGCACCAGGAAATCTTGTTAATTCAGCTTTTTTTTTCTATAATAGATTTTTATAAAATAGATATTTTTCTATAACCGATATAGATGGGTCACACTGTATTATTTCCTTCTTGCCCATTTATTTGTAGCTCCCTCTGTGAAGTAAGATAGCCTAAGAAAAATAAAAATATCTATCTATCTATTTTATCTATCCCAATTTTATTTTAAAGAAGAAAGCCAAAAATTATCTAATTGCATATTTTGGGGTCATTGGAAGGTGGAAAAATACTACCATTTGGGTAAGCCTTTTTATTATAAATGTCTATGCATATAAAAAAAAAACTGGAAGGCCAAGAGTTAGAAGTAAATCTGTATTTAGATTAACTCCACTATTTCAGTCTGTTAATGAATCACTCAGAGCAGTAGCATGGGCATAGGACTATGTGTTCACTCTATTTCCCAGGGCAGAAGGAAAAAGAGGTTAGATAATATTTGTAAATCAAAATTCCAGCTAGAGGTCTTTGCTAATGTATGGCTTTCTCAGCTGCAAAAGGAAACAGTGATCAGCTAAGACCAGGAGAAATCCCAAGGTTTCAGAGCTGGTTGATGGCAGAGCTGATACCTAATTATAGATTATTTGCTAGTTATGGAGATAGAATACTAGGCAGCAGTCTTAACTAATGATTAAGAAACTGAGCTTGAGGCAGAAAGATCTGGCTTTGAATCTCATTTCTATCACTTACTAGCTCTGTGACCTTGGACTACACAGTTAACCTGTGCAGGGATAATAGTATGCCAACTGCTTAGGGTTGTTTTGATGACTGCGATAATCCACCTATGTTAAGTGCTTAACATAGTGCCTTTTGCTGTTGCTTGCATTTTAATAAATGGCTAAACATACATTCTAAATCTTATTGAAATGAACATTTATGAAGTTGCCATCACCAACCTATTAGAGCAATTAGCAAAAAGGAGTGAGCCTGCCACAAAAAAATAAAAAAATAAAAAATGCCCGAGAGTGTGAAAGATTATAAACACCTAAGCCTAAAAACCATTTTTTGCTCTTCTGTATTGCTGACAGTGAGGTATTTTTGCATGTAGTTACAAGTTATATCCTGTGTTTGATCAGCATCCTTCTCATAAGTCTTGATTTCCTTAGCTCTCAAGATAGTGGGCAGAGGGCCTCCTGGATGGCTGAGTCAGTTAAGCAGCTGACTGTTGATTTCAGCTCAGGTCATGATCTCAGGGATGTGGGATCAAGCCCCACATAGGGCTCTGTGTGTGCTGAGCTGAGCATGGAGCCTGCCTGGGATTCTCTTTCTCCTCTCCCTCTGCCCCTCCCCCCATTCCTGTGTGCACTCTAAATAAATAAATAAATAAATAAATAAATAAATAAATAAATAAATAAATTCTTTGAAAAGGTAGTGGACAGAAAGGAATGTCCTCTAATTCCCATCAGAGTTCATATCCCAGCAATATGAGCAGTCCCGGGACCAACTATCCAGATGATTCTCCACTGCTTGTCTTGAATGATGGCATAAAACTTGCTGTACACCAATAATGAAATATGCCATGGTCACCCCATGTTTTAGGTGGATATAAAAGTCACTGAGGTAGCAACTTCTACCTATTTTAAGAGATTAAATACTTTATTTCTAGATTTCTAGTAAAATGTAAATGTTGATTATCCAAGTATAGTGTAAGAGGTAGTTTTACTGTTGTTTTACTATCTTTTTTTTAATTTTAGTAATTTATTTGCTTCTTACAATGTGTATTAGAACAAGTCTACTTTTCCATTCATGGCAATGATTTAAAAAATCTCCTTTTAAAATATATTTAAGTATGGGGTGCCTGGGTGGCTCAGTCGTTAAGCGTCTGCCTTCGGCTCAGGTCGTGATCTCAGGGTCCTGGGATCGAGCCCCGCATCAGGCTCCCTGCTCTGCAGGAAGCCTGCTTCTCCCTCTCCCACTCCCCCTGCTGGTGTTCCCTCTCTCACTGTGTCTCTCTCTGTCAAATAAACAAACAAAATCTTTAAAAAAATAAAATAAAATAAAATTATATATATATTTAAGTAAAGAAGTGAGTCAATATAAAGAAAAATATTAAGTGTGTATTATTATTATGAGAGGATATGCAAAATCATAAAGATGGGGTATGAAGATTGGGAAACATAATGTAATGGCATTTTTCAGGAGAGTTTTAGTGGACTTATGGACAGGACTTAGAGGGACATATGACAGGGGCGCCTGGGTGGCTCAGCCGTTAAGCGTCTGCCTTCGGCTCAGTTCATGATCCCAGGGTCCTGGGATCGAGCCTCTCATCGGGCTCCCTGCTCCGCGGGAAGCCTGCTTCTCCCTCTCCCACTCCCCACTGCTTGTGGTTCCTGCTCTCACTATCTCTCTCTGTCAAATAAATAAATAGAATCTTAAAAAAAAAAAACAGGGACATATGACAGGATCAATATATGGCCACCTGTTTTTGCTGAGACACATGTAATACTTTAAAACTGAAATTTCCTAATAGGTGGGGAAAGAAAAAGACCAGGGCAGGAAGAGAAAGAGGAAGGCAGAGACCTGTAGGAATGAGCCCTGAGGTCACAGTACCATGGTCCCTGCCGGGGGAGTTCATTTATTTAGAAGTAGAGCTCTTGCTGGGCTTGGCTGATGGTACTCTACTGCAGTTGTTTTTTTTTCTGCAGAGGCTCTCTGATTCTTATATTATTCTTATAAATGAGATGGGGGTAGAGCGAAGAAATACGAGTTTTATCTGGTCCATATGTTCACAGAAGTTAGCAATCCTGTTACTTTAGGGAAGGTCAGAAGGTATTTAAGAGAACATTTATCTCCCGTTGCTTGGTTCTGACTCCCATTAACATTAATGGGAAGAACACGTGTGTGCATAGGGGCATCCAGACCACCAGGTCTCTGTGAAGGACATTAACATAAACTGAGAAATGCAATTTAGAAATCTGCCCCATAAAGCACGATAAAGGCAGAGAAAACCATTCTGAACTCCACGTGAACTGTGCCAAGTACTGAATTGCACATCATAATGCTTCAGCCCTGTACCTTTAATGTAAATGTAACAGTTTAGCCTGAAATATGACTGAGCACTGTATTTTAATTCAATTTTGAGATCTACAAAGGGACTAATTTATCAGAGAAGGTGTTCTCTAACCTTAAAATGTGCTTGTATTCATTTTGATCTCCTCATACATAGGATTAAAACACCGTGAAGGTCAGACATCAGAACACGTCTTCTCTAACCTTTTTATAACAATTCTATCATTAACAACGCTTCTAAAATCCAATTCTCTTCGTCCTCGCCCCCACCACCATGTTTTGAAGGGAGGCTGAAGACAGTGTCAAACACAGGGTCAGTAAGTGTGGGGGAGGAGAAGGAAGGGATAAATCCACTATAGCAGGTACAGGAGGTTTAAAATAAATCTCTGGCAGGCAACCATAAAATGGATAAATACTCAGATTATGCATGAGCAGGCTTCCAAACTGCAGAATTCTGACAGGTGCCTAGGGGACTCTTGATTATCATCCCATCATCTGAATTTCTAAATTTCACTGATTTTATTTTTTAAACTAGTTATAGTATATTTGGGATTTGGTTTACTGTTTAATTTAAGCAAGTACAGTTCTCATGTCAGACCCCTGAATCCTACCAGAAAGCATAATATTTGACCTTTCAACAAAGATGAGCTTTAGCAATTGTCAACATCATTAAGAACCATATGGAGGGCAGGCTGTATTTACATGCAATACTGTACTTACTAATTCATTTTTATTTCTATGGCAGAGTAAAAGGCATGCCATTTCGCATGACATAGCATCTTTGCTGTACAGGTTTCATATGACAGGTATTTTTAAGTAGCACTCCTAAAGAAGAGCAGCTTAGAGTATTTGTCTTAAGTGTAGTTCAGCAAGATAACTGTGGTAATAGCACCCCTAGCTTCTATTGATCCCCTCCAGGGCTGAAAATGAAATGCAGGGCTTTAAGCTGTGGATGTTATTATCATAGTTATCTTGTTGAACCACAACCAAAATAACCTTGGGTAAGTCTGTGGCTGGTAGTTCCAGACTATACTTTGAGAAACCCTGTCCTACATCAGAGAACTTTGAACATGCCACATAG